TGACTCAATGACAAATTATATGCTTGAAATACAAAGGCTAATTATGTTTTTATCTGCAGGTACTGAGGGTCAAACATTGACTGAGTCTGAATCAGTGATTAAAAGGCCTGGACAATCCCACAGACTGACCTGTACATACTCAGGGTTCGGTGGTGATATTTATGCTGCTTGGATCAGACAGGCTGCTGGAAAAGGACTAGAATGGATTGCTTATATCAGCAGTGGCAGTAGCAGCATCTTCTACTCTCAGTCAGTCAGGGGCCGGTTTACCATCTCCAGAGACAACAGCAGAAAGCAGGTGTATCTGCAGATGAACAGCTTGACAACTGAGGATTCAGCTGTTTATTATTGTGCTCGAGAGCCACAGTGACACAAAAGGAAGAATCTTTGTACAAAAACTCAAAGCACATCACCAAAGGCAAATTTACTTTGTGCTGTTTACATTTATAGTAATGAACTGCAAGTCAATATCATTAACACAAGGCACAGAGATCTGCAAAAAATTTAACAATATCTGTTGGGATTAGTAATCAATTTGATAATCTATTTCAAAAATTGCACTCAGCATCTTGTTTAGTTGTCAGACCAAATATATTCATCTTTAATAGTATCTTTCTTAAAGATACACTTATTTATCATTACTTATTGCAGCCTGCAGGGAAAGAACTGGTATGGATCTGAATATAATCCTCGTGATTCATTCAGCAAAGATTCAGTAAATAATAATAATAATAATGGATTGCATTAATATAGCACTTTTCTAGGCACCCAAAGCGCTTTACAATTCCACTATTCATTCACTCTCACACACTGGTGCAGGCAAAACACAAACTTACAGAAGCAAGGCTGCCATATTGCGCCATCGGCCCCTCTGGCCAACACCAGTAGGAGGTAGGGTGAAGTGTCTTGCCCAAGGACACAACGACCAGGACAGAGAGAGCTGGGGGATTGAACCAGCAACCTTCCAATTACAAATAAGTGTTCCAAATCCCTGAACCACAGTCACCCCTAAAATAAGTTGAGCATCAACTTAGACACTTCCAGCAAAGCACTGACTGCAAGGGAACAGATTTTTCAGACTGAAGACACTGCTATATATTACTGTGGAAGAGAACCACAGCAACAAAACATGAGTCAGTAAATATTCCTTTATTGTGGCAAACTAAAACTCTGCATAGATACTTTGGGGCCACTTTGTTTACCTCAGATTGTTATCATATTTTTATTGATAGTTTTAGTTTAGATTCACTGGTTTGAGTTTTTTTGTTTTTTTCTTATTAGTGTATGGAGGACATATGTCGGAGGCAAAGGGAAATCTGTGTAGGAGTTTTTAATACTTGGCTAAAATTATTGACATTTTAATATTTTTTATTGTACTTTTACTTTTACGCCCTATCTTGGTTGTGATGATCCATTTATAAGGAGTATGTTTCTCATTGTTATATTGTAATGTTATATTACAGTTCAAACAAGTGTGTATCACATGGCTGTTGTGTGAAGTCTAGTCTAGTTGTGTAATATTGAGAAAATATAGATGTTTGTTTAAAGAACTGTTTTTGTTTCTTGTGTTTGTGCTTTTAATTTTTTTGTTTTGTTTCTAGTTGAATTTTACAGATTTACAAAATGCACATATCATTGCTGAGAGCAGGTTAACCAGCGAATATTAATAAGACTAATTTGATTAAATGACAAAAAAGCATAATATACAAACATGTTAAAAAGCAGTTTAGCAGAAATAATTGAATATCCAATTATAAAAAGGAAATAATTAGGTGACTAAAAACATTTATATAAAACAGTTTAAATGTAAACATAAAAACTGTGTGTTAAATTAAGATGAGATAAATGTAAAGATTTCAGGAAATAAAAATATAAAAATATTTTTAACATCAAAATGTACCGTTTTAACACAGAATATATAACATAAATTTATTGCATGTAACAAATGTACAGATTTTTTCATGTTCCTGATAACTTAATAACAGATGATGTTATTGTTTATAACTGTTACAGAAATTACATTTAACTCATCAACATACTCAAAGACTCAATAAAGCTGCTTCATTGGTAAATTGTTTTGGTAAATTGTTTTTGAATAAAAAAAAAATCAAACTTTATGTTTGTGTTTTAAATAATATTTTTATTTAATTATTTCAGTTTTTTATTGTTATTACTGATTGCCACAGTGTGATCTCTTATAATCTGTCAGCATCCATCTATATGCAAAGAAAACTTCCTGACAGTCGACTATAAAGACTTGAAATCATGGTGTCAGTTAAAGCAGAAGAAGAGAAGTTTGCATCAGATTATCTTAAGTACCAAAATGTTCTCTGTAGCTCTGCTGCTCCTGCTGGCTGCTGGATCCTGTGATTCTCACTGGAAAAAACAAAACAAAAAAACACTGACACTATGATCACATCATACTGACTGTTACTGTTACATAAAACATGTTTTTTCCACAGGTGTGAAGTGTGAGCAGCTGACACAGCCAGAGTTTGTGACTGTGCAGCCAGGTCAGCGTCTGACCATCACCTGTCTTATTCTCTGAGCAGCTATCGGACAGCTTGGATCAGACAGCCTGCAGGGAAAGGACTGGAGTGGATTGGAAGTGCATGTGTTGGATACCACACATATTACATAGATTCACTAAAGAACAAGTTCACCATCAACATAGACACTTCAAGCAAATGGACTCTAAATGGACAAAATATGCAGCCTGAAAACACTGCTGTGTATTACTGCGCCATTGAGTCACAGTAGCAGAAACCATCAGCAGACCTTTACAAAAACTCTTCAATGTCTGAATAGTTGTAACATGAAGCCACCAGAGGAGGAGCCCTTAGACCATTTATGGTTTTGGAGTGGTTAAATAAGAAAAGGCTTGTATACTTTCTATAACAATGAAAATAAAGAATATGTGAAAATTATAATAATTTTATTCAAACGTGTAAAATAAAATTCTGATATATGCTACAACCATTACTTAACTTGATAAGCCTAAGTTTAATCAAACTCACTTGTGTCCAAAATATAGACATAACATAAACAACTATAATGCAAGTTTTTAATGAAATGTCTTCAAATTAGAACTTAAGATTTAGTTTGGTTGTTATAACTTCAATGAAGTTTGAGTTTATAAAGCTTGATAGATGTCAATGAAAGAAAAAAGTGTGCATGCTTCAAAGCCTTTTATTCTATATTATTAGACTTTATGAAATCAACAAACTAAAAAGTGTGTTGCTTAATATTAGAAGTGTAAGAGCACATATTCAGAAATAATAGCAAATATTTACAGTAGAAGAATAAGATGAACACATAGGCATACACAGACATGCTGCAGTTCATGAATTCCTGCAAAAAATGCAACATGATGAAAATCACGAGTGCTATTGACAATTTTGTATGAGCAAAGGTGTGGTTCTCTAACAGATGGAGGAACTGATACAAGGTTAACTTTTCCCTAATTAGATGCTTGTTCGTAGGTACTGTTAAATCCTATCTGAGTGTGAATCAGTGGTCAAAACGCCTGAAGAATCCCAGAGACTGATGGATATAAAGTGAGAGTTTAACAGTCATTACTGGAATCCTTGAATCAGACATGCTGCTGGAAAGGTAGTGCAGTGCTACTCGGATTGAAATGAATATTACTCTCAGCATTTACCATCTTCACAGATAGCAACTGATTCTGCTAAAGAATAACTAAGATTGAAATGTCCATGAAGCACAGTAACTGAAGTATAAATTTATGTATCTGCTGTCAGTAAAATAATTTTGTAAAAGTAGGTGGAAGCAAAAAGGGAGAACTACATATTGTAATTCATTCTTACTGTCTTGTTAATTGTTCATTTTAATCATTAGAAAATTCTGCACTGTAATCACATACAGTACATATGATTTACTGACAAATGTGATTTATACATTGTCCAGCTTTTGCTTCTCACTTTGTGAAAAAAGAGGTATTTTTGTTGAGTAGGAGGAGCCAATGCAAAACTGATATGGACAATGCCTTCAAATGTTCATCTGCAGAGTAAAAGTCACAGACTGCAGAGTGGACAACAACAACAATGACTTTTACAATGATCAGACCAAACTGTTTAGTTGTCTCTCTTATTTTGTTTTCTACCTTGGCTGGTAAGGATACATAAATCTGTTGGACAAACAAACATTTTTCCTTAATGACAATGTGATCACAACAGTGAGTTATTAATATGTCTGTAGGTACTGAGGGTCAAACACTGACAGAGTCTGAATCAGTGGTTAAAACACCTGGAGACTCCCACACACTGACCTGTACATCCTCAGGGTTTGGTGGCAATATTCATGCTGCTTGGATCAGACAGCCTGCTGGAAAAGGACTGGACTTTAATCTATAAACCAATAAGTTGTACAAAGTACTTGTTTATATACAGAGATATAGAACATAACATTTACATGTACAGTAAAAGTTATAACATTTTTTTAAATGACAAAAAGTGTTTTTTTCTTTCTATTTTATCAGCAATCAAATCAGACTTCGTCTTGTTGTATGGATTCAACATACAGAGTCAAGCAAGGTCGTAACTACTGAAGTTCTCCGCTTCCTCTAATCTTGATGTCTGCACTGTAGACTGGGCAGGGATAAATGGCTTAAACAATGATCAGAAATTATATTTGGCTTGCTTTTCTCATTCTTATTCCAGCAGCCAAAAGGCAAAGAGGCAGAGTTCACCCTGAAGAGGTCAATAATCTGTCACGGGGCAAGTTGTAATTCTCCTTTTAAAATTCAGGTTTTGATGAATAATAACAATAATAATAATAATAATAATAATAACCCTTCAACCTCAGAGTTATTTTTTAAGATTGCTTTTGTTTTTCATCTTTTATGTTAAAAACACAGTCTCTATTAGTGCTTGAACAATCAATGTATCTCTAATCATGTATCAGCATCCATCTGTATGCAAAGTAAGCTCCCCCACTGACTTGATATAATGCTGCAGGTTGCAAAAGAAGAATAGAAGCTCCTGGGAGATCACCTTCAGCACCAACATGTTCTCTGTAGCTCTGCTGCTGCTGCTGCTGGCTGCTGGATCCTGTGAGTCTTACTGAACACAAACACTGACAGCATGAAAACTACACACTTTTAATTTGACTGCATTCAATGTGTTTTTTCCACAGGTGTAAACTGCGAGCAGCTGACACAGTCACCCTCTGTTATACTGCAGCCAGGTCAGCGTCTGACCATCACCTGTCAGGTTTCTTATTCTCTTGGCTACTGGACAGCTTGGATCAGACAGCCTGCAGGGAAAGGACTGGAGTGGATTGGGATGAAAGATACTGGGAGCTCTTACTATAAAGATTCACTAAAGAGCAAGTTCAGCATTGACTTGGACACTTCAAGCAAGACAGTGACTCTAAATGGACAGAACATGCAGCCTGAAGACACTGCTGTGTATTACTGTGCCAGAGAGTCACAGTAACACAAACTGTTAAGACCCCTGAACAAAAACCTCTCAGGGCCTGAACAACTGTAGCATGAAGCCACCAGAGGAGGAGCTCTAAGACCATGAATGAATTTAAGATGTTTTTCTAAGAAACTTACTCTTGTTGTAGTCTCATAACTGTTTAAATATGGTGGGTTTAAATGATGAGTAACAAACACTTGAATAAAATAATTGGGTGAACAAAACTTAAAGACTCCTTGTCTTTACTTCTGTTATTCAAGGTAATCAGTAATTAATCAATGCTCAGATATAATGTGAGATTATAGCAACAGCTACCGTATAGTCCAATCACATCACATAAAGTGCATTAAGCAGCCATTTTATTAGGTGTTTTAGAAACTGCTGATCTGCCATGAATGGTCTGAAAAAGAGAAAATATTCAGTGAGTGGCAGGAGAAAAGGCCTCGCTGATGTCAGAGGAAAATTTCCAGACATCTTTGAGCCGAAATCAACAGTAACTCAAATAACCACTCAATACAACCAAGATATGCAGAAGAACATCTGAACCTTTCAGCAGATGAGCAACAGCTGAAGATTTGTTGCAGTTAAACCTGTTCTGAGAACACATGTTTATATTTGCTTTAAATTGAAGATCAATTTCACTGCTGCTGTTGACTGTGTGTTATTGTATATAGTCTCTCATACATATTTGAAAATAGTTTGAAGTAATTTGACTGAAAACATAAAAAATGCTGGACAGGAAAGAGAGAGCTCTAGAGTTCTAACTGATAAAAGTACAGCTGTTTTGATGAGTCGTGCGAGCAGTATGAACTAGAGATGGGTATTGATAAGATTTTCATGATTCCGATTCCATTTTCGATTCTGTTTAACGATCCGATTCTTTATCGATTCTCTTTAAAAAAGGAGAACACTAAGGTCGATTTGCTTAGAACTTTGTTTTATATCTTCTCTTTGAACAAGATAGAAATGTAGGAGTAACATGGCCTTACAAGATAAGATAAGATAAGATAAGATAAGATAAGATAAGATAAGATAAGATAAGATAAGATAAGATAAGATAAGATAAGATACGATAAGATAAGATAAGATAAGATAAGATAAGATAAGATACGATAAGATAAGATAAGATAAGATAAGATAAGATAAGATAAGATAACTCTTTATTGTCATTGCACAGTCATACATAGTACAGTAGTACAATGAAATTGGAAAACTGTCCTACGTCGGCACTACATATAACACAACACGACACGATATGACACATCACAACGCAACAAACAACACAACACAGTATATTAACTTAGTATAAAAAAGAAGAATAAGTGTATGTGTATTGCACACTGTTATTGTTGCACATTAATTATTATTGCACCTTGTTATAAATATAAATATTATTATTGTTATTGTTTTAAACATTGTTACCTCCCCCCTAAAAAAGTCCAGGGAGGTATCCAGTCCGGTCAGCTATTTACATTGATCAGGGCTACTGCCCTGTTGTAAAAGCTGTCCTTGAGTCTATTTGTTCAGGACCTCAGCAGCCTGAACCTCCTGCCAGACGGCAGCAGCTTGAACACCCGGTGTCCTGGGTGTGTGCAGTCCCGTAGGATGCTGCGTGCCCTCTTGAGACAGCGAGTGCTGTACAGGTCCTTCAGGGAGGGAAGAGGATGTCCAATGATTTTTTGGGCTATATTGATGACCCTCTGGAGTGCCTTTCTGTGTGATGTGGTGCAGCTGGAGAACCACACACCGATGCAATATGTCAGCACACTTTCAATGGAGCAGCGGTAGAAGACGGTCAGCAGCTCCTTCTTGAGGTCCATTTTTCTGAGGATTCTCAGAAAGTGGAGACGCTGTTGGGCCATCTTCAAAACCGCAGAGGTGTTAAAGCTCCATTGGAGGTCTTTGTCTATGTGCACACCCAGAAACTTGAAACTGGAGACCCTTTCCACACACTCCCCGTTGATGCTGACAGGCTGCAGCTCGGACTTCCTTCTTCTGAAGTCAACTACCAGTTCTTTTGTCTTGGTGGTATTGAGATCCAGGTTGTTATCTACACACCAATTTGACAGCCTCTGAACTTCAGCTCTGTACGCCGTCTCATCTCCCCCTGAGATGAGCTCCACCACGGTGGTATCATCTGCAAACTTGATGACTGCGTTGTCTGGGTGGGTACTAACACAGTCATGTGTGTACAGAGTGTACAGTAGGGGACTCAGTACACAGCGTTGTGGAGAGCTGGTGTTAAGGCTGATGGCTGAGTCTAAGTCTCTGTACACAGTCTGAGAGGAAGTCTCTGATCCAGCGGCAGGTGCTAGAAGGAAGTCCGATTTCCAGCAGTTTAACTATTAGTTTGTCCAGGAGTATCGTATTGAAAGCAGAGCTAAAGTCAACAAAGAGCAGCCTGGCGTAACGGCCTTGCACTTCCAGGTGAGAGAGGGTGATGTGGAGCGTTGTAGCAATGGCATCTTCAGTTGATCTGTTAGCTCTGTATGTGAACTTTACTGGCTTGAAATAAAAAAAAATATTCCTAAATCATGTACACTGTCTAAGAGCAACACAAAATTATCATTATAATCAGCGCACACAGAAAAAGCAAAACAAATTGTAGGATTTAGTTAAACTATAACTGGCTGTGATAATTGCCCCTCCCTCCCCATGACTCTGATGCAAAATTTCCATTTGCGTAGAGTACTTCTATCCTGCACTAATTGTTGATCATCAGAGTCCAAATCCCCAGCCTCAGGATGACGGACACACTTACTCTGTTGCTTGTTGCCCTTTCTCTGCCCTGTGAGTGATCTTGTTTCTTGCTTGTTTATTTTATTGGACAAGACTGAGTGATGACACCTTCTGTAATATTTCTCTCTAGGTGTTACAGGTCAGAGTATGGAATCCATTCCTTCAAGTCCAGTAGTGAAAAGACCCGGGGAGACTCTGAGTCTCTCCTGTAGGGGATCTGGCTTTACATTTAGTTGCTGCAGTATGCACTGGATTAGGCAACCTGCAGGAAAAGGACTTGAATGGATGGGTCGTGTTTATAGCGATGCAAGTAGAACTGACTATTCAAGCAGTCTGCAAGGACGTATAGAAGTCACCAGAGATAACAGCAACAGCATGACCTACCTGAGACTGTCAAACCTAAAGCCAGAGGACTCTGCAGTGTATTACTGTGCAAAACACACAGTGTTCAAAGTGTACTGAGAGGCTGTACAAAAACTTGCAGCTCAGCAGTTTCACAGTAACAGCTGTGATCCTAACTTCTGAACATGTATTTATAAAAAGCATCACCTCAGGATATAAAGATATAAAAGACTTTATCTCAAATATCCTGAGTTTAGTATTTAATTTATGTCATCATCACTTCTTCTTTAGTGGACTTTTTTTTATAATTTGTAACCTAATTAGTTCATCATTTGACATGACCATTTTTTTAACAAGCTCTGCCTTGTGTGTTGAAAAATCATATTAACAGAACCTCACATTTTGTACAAACTAGGAATTCAAGTGTGATCCTCATCCTTAAAAATAGTTAATGATTTAAAACGATATCAGACATTATTTTTTGCAGGAATGTGTAATAATTGCTTATTGTTATTTTTTTTTCTGTGATAAATGCCTGTGGTAGATAAACCAACAAAACATTTAAGTGCCACATTTTTCATTCACAACTAACACAAACAATCAAGTATTATTATATTATTAATACACACAATCACAGTCACACACACACACTCAGACACACTGATGCACATTAACGGAACGGTTGATGTTTCACATTTTGTTACAGGTCTCGATTTTGTCAACATATAAACAAATGTATATTCCACAACATGAATAACTAAAAACAAACAAAGACACAAAAACAGTATTTTTAGGAGGAATCAGTGTAAAACATTTCCATCTCACCTCTACTTATGTGCCTGCTTGAACACTGAGTTTACAGTTGAACAGGATGGACTGCAGGACAGGGCTGCTGCTTTTAACTATGTGCTGGGCAGGTGAGGAGTCTTACTGATCTTGATTTAATAGCATTTATCTTTGTGTTACTGACACAAATGATATTATCTTGCTTGTATTAACAGGTGCTGATGGCCAGGCTCTAGCAGACTCTGAACCAGTAATTAAAAGTACTGAAAAATCCCACAGACTGACCTGTACAGGCTCTGGATTCACATTCACCAGCTACCGTATGAACTGGGTCAGACAGGCTCCTGGAAAACGACTGGAGTCGATCGCTTTTGTACACACAGGCAGTTCTCATTTCTTTTACTCCCAGTCAGTCCAGGGTCGATTTACTATTTCCAGAGTTGACTCCAGCAGTAAAGTCTATCTACAGATGAAAAATCTGAAGACTGAGGACACAGCAGTTTATAACTGTGCCCGAAGAGACACAATGAGACACAGTAACAGGAGAGTCATACAAGAACTACTTCCTCTACTTGCCAACAACACAAGAAATACTGAATTATATCAAAAAAGGTGGCATTTTATTTAGAAATGCAAGATGAAATTTTCCTCAATGTACTCTAATGTTAAGTGGTAATACAACTGTCGCATACAATGCTATTCTGTATTAACTAGTGAACACAACATTTTCAGAAAAAAAAGTACTTATGAGCAGCCGTGACAATAGTTGAACTGTGTATCTTCATGAAAAAGTTTTGAAATTTCCCTTTAAAAACGAAAATACTGTCCACTAGCCTTGCAGTATTTGTGTTTTAAAAATAATTTGTTTAAACATTATTTAAAATCAAAGTGATATCAAATTTAAGCACAAACAAGTGAATGTCTGTTCTTTTTCTCAAATTGTTCTGTGTGTAAACAAAAAATGTGAAGAAAAAGACTGGAAGATTAATTAAATAAGTGACTAAAGCTTTTTTTGTGACAGTGTTTTTGGACAGTAAGAAAAAGTGCTATAACCTATCAAAAGTCAAATTGTTTTTTGTTTTTCATTTTTTTTATTTTTTATAATTCAAGTATTTATTAGATTTTGCATTTTATAAGAGCAAATACAGAGATGCAACAATCAAAAGCAAGAAGCAAACAAACAAAAACGAACAAACAAAATAAATAACTAAAAATAAATAAATTAAAAAAAAAAAAACACAACGAAACAAAACAAAACAAGTGAGGTGTTAACATATGTTGTATTAAGCTCAAATGTCCAAGTCAGGTAGACATGTAGGTGCA